ATTTGAGTGAACTAAATATAATATATACGAATGAAATTTATACAACACATATTAGCTTGCATATATTTTTCGTGTTTAATGCACGGCAATTAACTTTTTATTTGAATAAAAGTGTCTATTTATTCATTAAGAGGTTGTAAAATTGTGGATGAAATCTGGCAACATTGTTATGGCGTGGTGGTAAAAGTTGGGTCAACTGTCATTACTGTCAACTTTGCGCTTATTCCATAAACATGAATGGACATCCAAGGTACAAAGGAAAAGTAATGACTGAAAAGTAATATAAAATGCGTATGAAACAGAATGTGGATTGATGAGAAAAAAGTAAAAACCGAGAATCCATGATAACTATTAAAAAGTTCAGTGTATGATAGTGAGACGTCGCCTTGTCAAATTGAAGTTTATGACAGAACATCTATACTGTTCGTTTTGCAAANAAATTTCATTATTAATAAAAGTCCGGGGGAAAGGTCCGGGGAAAAGTCCGGGAAATGTCCGGGTAAAAGTCCGGTGAATAGTCCGGGGAAAAAAATCCGGGAAAAAGTCCGGGTAAAAGTCCGGGTGAAAGTCCGGGTAAAATTCCGGGTACAAGTCCGGGTGAAAGTCCGGGTACAAGTCCGGGTGAAAGTCCGGGTAAAAGTCCGGCTGAAAGTCCGGGTAAAATTCCGGGTAAAAGTCCGGTAAGTCCGGGTAAAAGTCCGGGGAAAAAGTCCGGGGAAAAGTCCGGGGAAAACTCCTGGGAAAAATTATTGTTAAACGAAATATTAATTAAAATTTCAATGTCGGAATTATTTTATTATTATTAAATAAATATATAAAGCTATCATTCATTGAGAGAGTTATTTTTTTTACATATTCAGGCAAAGTAAACTTGTTTTTTCAATAATTTGTTAGCTATTTAATTACGATTTAAATGTAAAAATTCACAAATTATTTTCAAATTATTATTTATTGTTAAAAGATTAAAAAAAGAATAAAAAGCATTTGAATTTATTGCAAATTTCTCAAAATTAAAAAATATTAGAAAAATAAAGCGGTCGATAAAATTACAATTTTAACTTCTTCAAATTTTAATATCTAAAGTTTATTTATTATATTTATTATTAATTTTTTACAAAATAAATGTTTGCAACATAATCAAAATTAATTAAAAAAATATTAATCACAACCATTTTCAATCATAGATATATGTAATGCAATATAATACCAATTTAAATTTTAAAAATTTTTCCATTTTTATGAGAAATAATAATTTGAAAATAATTTATGAATTTTTACTTTAATTTTACATTTAAATCGTAATTAAATAGCTAACAAAATATTGAAAAAACAAGTTTACTGTGCCTTAAAATGTAAAAAAATCTTCTTATAAATAATTAAATAACCTTTATTTTTCTTATGGACTTTGTAATAAAGTATGGGAATAGTCAATAAAACAAAAAAAAAATGGGAGAAAAGCCATAAATTACCTAATAAAGAAACCCTAAAAAGTTCAAACCGCGCCGCGATTTTCCTTTCATTGTGAACCGAATTATTACTTTTACTAAAAACCAATTACAAAATACATTTTTCCTCATTTTTGAAAAAATTTCGAAATTTTATTTTTACAATATTCCAACGATACCTTTTTTGGCCGCGGTTTCCACTTTGTTTTCAGATGTCAATTTAAATATTATTTACAAATGGTATATACCCCGTTATCAGTCGCTTATTTTCTCCCACAAATCGTTTCCAAAAGCTTTAAGTACCTAATTAAATAATAATTTTTTTTCAAAAGTAACTAAACATTTTCTGTATATTCGAAAAAAATATATTTTTTGACCATTGACTATATTCATAATGGATGAATACATAAGTATTAAAAAAAATTTTTTTTATTACTATTAGGTATTATTATATTATGAAATATCCTGTATTGTAGTTAAAAAAATCTAAATTTGAAAAAAAATAATAACGAAGATTTTTCTACTCAATTTAATAACATTTTTATATATCTTCAGATATTTAGCGACGACAACTTTTGGACAAATAAAATAGAAAGAAAATTAGAAAAATTTTATTTTAAGTGTTTACTTCCTACAGCCATCAGCATATCATACTATTCACGATTTGACTAATTTGTGGCCTATTATTTTGCAGTTTATATTGACAGGTACTTTTACTGTTCTCTAACGATGTCAATGTATTGATAAATGCTTTCCGAATTGTCATTAATTGTTATAGAGCTGTCCGTCTCATACAATACAACAAATAACGCCAAAGATGGTACGTACTACGTACGCATTTCCGTTCGAGCTGTAGCACAATGTGCTGAAACATGTTTAGCGGCAGATGGTGGAAATTTTGAACAATTCGTTTGTCATAATTGTTTATCAAATGATTAAATTGAAAATTTTTATTATTTTTGGATATTTAAAATTGCCATATCTCGAAAAATATCGGTCTGATTAAAAAATGATCTACATTTTTTTAAGACCTTATCTAGCTTAACATGATCCCAGAGTCCGTGTCCGCGAATTTCGTAACACCCTGTATAATAACAATAAGTAACAGTATTTTTTTTTCAACCCCCGGCCAGGAGTGAAGAAAGATAAAATAAAGGGGTTTTTGAAAATAACTGAAAAGGGAAAAAAGCTAAAAAAGAAAGTTTCTTATTAAAATCGTAAGGCATTAATTTCTATATCAGAATGGCCTATTGAGTTTTTCTAGTCTATTAAAATTAACACAGTTAGAGAGACTACAAGTTAAGGGATGATTTATATTTAAAAAATCATAACAAGCAAAGAAAATTAATATTATAATTTTGTTTTCCAATGTACTCTAAAAAATGCAATATTTTGAGAAAATAAAAAATTTCATATTTAATAAAAGTCCGGGGAAAAGGTCCGGGGAAAAGTCCGGGAAAAGTCCGAGTAAAAGTCCGGTGAAAAGTCCGGTGAAAAGTCCGGTGAAAAGTCCTGGGAAAAAATCCGGGAAAAAATCCGGGAAAAGTCCGGGTACAAGTCCGGGTGAAGGTCCAGGTAAAATTCCGGGTAAAAAGTCCGGGTAAAAGTCCAGGGGAAAAATCCGGGGAAAAGTCTGGGGAAAAGTCCGGGGGAAAAGTCCGGGAAAAAGTCCGGGGAAAAATTATTGTTAAACGAAATATTAATTAAAATTTCAATGACGGAATTATTTTACTATTATTAAATAAATAAATGAAGCTATCATTCATTGAAAAAGTTATTTTTTTACATATTAAGGCAAAGTAAACTTGTTTTTTCAATATTTTGTTAGCTATTTAATTACGATTTAAATGTAAAAATTCACAAATTATTTTCAAAAATTTCAAAAAAATATATACAGGGTGTTTCAGAAAGACCTCCCGTAAATAAAGGGGGTGATAGTACGACAAAAATTGAGAATTTTTTGTCTTATGAACTCTACGTCTGTCTCCTCTTGTTTTCGAGATACAATAAAATAAAATAAAATAAAATTTTTTAAATAACATTTTTATGAAAATTTCCAAATGGTGCGAAATATTTTTATGAAATTTGGTAGTCCGAGGTTTTTAAGTGTGCCAATTACTTTTGGTATATTTCATAGAGGGCGCTAGTTATGCTACATTCTTATTACAATTTAAGTTATATTTGTTTTAAGGTTAGATTTTTTACCAGTCGGGCTCTAATTTCTATTGTACAATTTTATTTTCTAAAAATAATGTACTCTTGTTAGAACTTCCTAATGTGGACGATTTTCGAGAAAAAAGGCTTTTAATTAAACTTTTACAATATTACACTATAAAATAAGTGACTTTTTTCAAAGTAAGCCTGAGCTTTGAGAAGAGGAGATAGACATATAGTTCATATGACAAAAAATTCTTATTTTTTGTCGTCCTCACCCCCTGTATTTACGGGAGGTCTTTCTGAAACACCCTGTATTGTATATTTATATGGAATTTTGCTTAATACATGAAAATACCTTATTAGAAATTATAAATACATGTGCACATTTTTTACGAA